TACTACTGCTGAGGATACAGTAATGAGCAGAAGAGATTCCTGTTGGCTTCCTTGAAGCACAGTGGCAGAAAGTCCTGACTCTAGTGGTTACCTGGCTACTTCTGATGACGCCTCAGGCTTTATTTCTGTTGTTTCCTCCACAGAAGTTCATACTCAAAATGCCGAGGATTATTTTGATGCTACTGAATTAATTTTTTTAGTTGTACAGAGGCCATGAAATGGCTTATTAAAAATAAACATATAAGTTTCAAAGATTATTAAACCATAAAATCAAGCCGCAATTAGTAAAAGTGAAACACAGCATACACATTCTTTCCAGAAGTCTGTTAGAGCAGGAGACCCTGGCACTCAGTTTGTCCGCTGGGCCAAGAAGGGGACAAAGTGAGAGAGCGAAGCCAGCTCAAGAAAGTGTCTCATAAGGATGGCAGTGTTGAAGAGAGGCCCACGCTTCCTGGCCCCGAGTCTTATGAGGATTTGCCTCTACATCTTCATACTAGTTCCCTTTCTGATTCTGTGATAACATACCATGTCCACAAGCAAATTATGGAAGGTGCAGTTTATTTTGGTTTATGGTTCCCGAAGGATAAGAGTCCTTCATGGCCGGAAAGTGTCATAGCAGAATGTGTCAAACATGGCAGCAGAAATAGGAAGCTGAGAGACCGTATCTGCAAGCACAAGTGGAAGTATCGCAGTAAATAAGGATCAGGATAAACAAACAGGCCGAATAGATGTTTATTCAGGGAGAAATAACTTACAACCTAGACAGATGAACACCAGGAAATTCAACCCGATCCTCTCCTGTCCGAGTCACGCCAGAAAGAGAGTGCCTTTCCTGGCCCCCTCTGACCTCCTTCCACAGGTCACTTCCGCCCATGGCTCCACCCCCCAATGGGCGTGGTCAGTGCCACAGAACTATCTCACTATATGGAGGGGACAGAATTAACTGGAAGTAAGTCAAGGCTATGGACTCTCACAGCCTCTCCCCAGAAGTACTCTTGTAGAATGGCTGCACATTCTAGCCTTCCCCAAACAGCACCACCAACTATAGACTGAATACCCGATGTGGGGGGGGGGGTGTATTTCTCATTGAAGCCATTACTGTCCTAATGAAAGGGATGCTGACTATTTGATGAATAAGGATAACCTAAGCTGGAATGCTTCTTTCTATGTGCCTGCAGTGGGTATTCAGAGGGGACCAGAATACTTCCCCAAAGTGTGAGTGTAATGGTCATTAAACAAACTAACAAAACAACAACAACAACAACAACAATACCTGAAACTTTTGGGCAGACATTTAGCTTAATTCCATGGATAACTTAAGGTATAATTTGCTTCTTCAAGTTTTCTGTAATAGGAGCAGAAGGCCTGGTAACAAAATGCTTTCTCAGTGTGACCACCTTTGCCTTTCTCATGGAGACAGACTGAAGGCTAGTCTTATCTACCAACCTCTTCCTTTTCTGCTGAACCAGGCATCATGACACAGGGGATCCTTTGGACCATAGTTCTTGCCTTTGAATTCCAAACTGATATGTTGGGAAAAGCAGGAATTTGCTGAAGATGCTGTTGTGATTAAGGTGATAGTGGATGTAGTGTTGGGGACCATGGGGCTGGGGGACCATGGGGCTGAGGGCAGACTCCACAGAAGAGTTGTCTTTTAAATCAGACTACAGTGGAACTGAGGCAGAGGTACATTCCAGACTTGAAGGTCCATGAAGGCAGAGCAGTGCACAGAACTTTGGATTCCATTCTAAAGAAATGTCTAGTGTTTGATCACCGAAGAACTCTGAGGTCAATTCACAAGACCATCTTCCTTATGCATTAACAAGTCGTATCTGTAGCTGTGGTGTTTAAAAACAGTAGCCACCAGTTACATATGCCAATTAAACATCTGAAATGTAGGTAGTCTAAATTCTAATCTGCTGTAGGAATAAAATATGCATTTGATTTTCAAGACTTGGTGCAAAATGTGTAAAAATGCCTCAACAACTTTGATGCTGGTCATAATGCAGGTGTTCGACAAATTCAATGCAGTAACATCTAAAATTAATTTCACTACAATTACTCAATAGGTCCGCATCTGGCTGCTGGTGCTGATGTTGGTGTAATGGTGCTGGTGCTGATGGTGTTGGCGACAAGGCTGGCTCCAGGAAGGGAAGAATTGAATGAAATTCAGGAAATGGTAGGGAGCTACTGCTGCTGTTCGGCATATGACTAATGCTGCCTTGAGAGATTTCTAGCTCCTGCAAGAATTAGATTACCATCTGAAAGCATGGGTTGTTGTGAAGCTTGTAACTTCTTCTGTGTCCCTCGAATGTACTCCCACCCATGATGGCGGCTTTCATGCTGTGACCTTACCATATGTGGTTGCCCAACCTTGATCTCCTGTTTCTAGAACTGTGAGCCAAAATCAACATTTTTTCCCCTCTATAATGTACTCATCATTGAGTGTTTTGTTATAGCAACAAAAAATAATGATGACGCGTGCTCATGCAAGGTCAGGGTGTGAAGCTCATGACAGGATTGGGTGGGGCTGCAGGTTCAGGGGTCAACAGGAAAGGCAGCGACTGAAGGACGGATGTGTGCATTCAGGAGGGAGAGTGGGGTGAGAACCGCACACAGAATTAGGGGAGGAGAGAAGATGGAGCTCAGCATTCAAGGTGAGAAAGGAGAAGCTAATTAGATGTGATTGAAGCTAGCCTGGGAGGACCTAGGAGACCCTGGCGTGTTTGCAAAGAAGAGATGAGCTTTATTGGGACATGGCACATGCTAGGAGGTGTCTGCGTGTGCAAGGTCACCTGAGATCAACATTATGTGCGCATGCCCGGAAGGGAGTCCTTGGCGAAGGAAGCACTGCAGGTACGAGGGAGAACGCTTCCGGAGATATCTGGGCACTAGAGAAAGTTGGAATTCTGAGAGGGCCCTGGGGATTTAGAAAAGAATGTTTAGACAAATGGAGAAGAGGGCAAATGGTTGTAAAAGTAGATAAATACGTCATTAGGAGTCACAGGGGTAAATAATGTTCCTGATTTTGTGTGTGTGTGTGTGAGGGGGGGGGCAGCGCAGAAACTGGCCTGCACCTTCCCTGTGGGCAGACTTTGGAGACTGTAAGAGCCTTGCATCCCAGATCCGAACAGACCTCTTAAGTCATGGCACCCCTGCTTAGAACCAATCAGAGGATCAGTGAGCTAAAACGGTTCTCACTACGTTCCGGCTGCAGTTCCCACCTTCCCCGATAGGGGCGCTGGGCACCAGCGGATAGCCCGTTCCTTCCCAGAGCCGATTTGGCGCCCACCTTGGTCAGTAGCTTTGCAACTTTTCCCGCAGCAGTGTGCTGCTCTGGGTCTGGGAAAATCCACGAAGGCCAGGTCCACTTCATTCTGGGTTGGCATTGACTTTGCCTTCTTTCTCCGGCCTACATATTTCCCGCTCCCTATGTTCATTTTAGCTTTGGTGGGAAAGCAAGTTCAGAGGGTAAGGGCTCCGGGGAATCCCTAGTTTCCAGCCTTTGGCGCAGGCCCAGAATCCAGGAGCCTCCGCTGCAGGCTGCATGCATCCCGACCTTTTCCAGGGCTTTCTCCGAGTTCCTCTTTTTCTTTCACATCCTCTTCTCTCCGCCTCTCCTCTATTCTCCTATTCTGGATTTACCGTTTTGTTCTCACATCTCCAACCACAATTCCTCTGTGTCGCCGGCTTTCACCCTCTAGAAAGCAGCTCTTCGAATTCCTAAGAGGAAGGAACGGCTCGGAATCTGTGTCCCTCGCCCAGCCTTAACTCGCCACCCTGCTCCTTTTCCACTAGTCCTTCCAGTCCCCACCATCTCCAGATAGCCTCGTCTCTAGCTGTACCTCAAGCTTCCCTGCTCATCAAAGTCTCCGTCTTCCTGCGGTCAGGAAGGGTTCCAGGAACATCGGGCGCGCAAACTACTGTCCTGCTGCCATGGGGGACGGGGCGGGGGCGATTAATGGTAGCCAGTACTTCGAAACACTGGCCCTACTCAGAATCCTGTCTGGAGGTCGGAAGGGCAAGACCTAGTAGTCCGGGGCAGGAAAACCGGCATCTGGATATTCCGGGTGGGAACAGAATCTTTGCCACTTTCCTCCCACACCTTGCTTGGGGTCCGGAGAAGGACAGCCTGTGCCCGGTCGCTTTCAACTTCACTTTCCAGGCCTCCAGGCGGCTTAATCAGATTATGCCCACAGGTGCTGGGGGACCATGGGTGAGTCAGGAAGAAGGGTGCTGCCCTTGTTCTCCACATCGCCTCTGACCACTCACAGGCTCCTGGAGATGCAAATACAGTCTCTGCTTCATCAGCGAGCATCCACGGAGAAGCGCACCTCCCGCCCGGCCTCGCCCCGCCCCGCCGCTCTCACTCACACCAGCTCGTGTAAACGCGCACGCACGGGGCCGCGCGCCCCCGCACACCCAGCAACGCCGCCCCGCACAGCAGCTCAACCAGGTACACCCCCCACCCCGCCGCACCCTGAGGCGCCCTCCCGCCAGCCACGGAACACCCCTGGTCTCCCTCTTGCTCGCTTGCGCGCACGCACGCGCACGCACGCACTCCCCGCGCCCCCGCACCGGGAGGGAGCGCGGGCCTCCGGGGGCGGGGAGCCAGGAGCAGAGTCGTGGGTCCATCCCGCACTTGGCTTCCACGCGGAAGCTCCGGGCTGGCCCTGGTCTCCAGATCCAGAACAGTTGGCGTTGGAAACAATTTCCTCCTCCTCCTCCTCCTCGAGACCCTTATACTTCCCCACTCGCCGTCTCCAGCTCCCAAGAACAGACCCGAAGAGTGAACCCCCAATCGCGGCCAGGAGCGGCTTCCCAACTCCGTGCCCGCAGCAGGCTGGCGGCTTGGGGAGGCTGGATTTCCGAGAGCCTCCGGGTTGGGGTCTGTTGTTAGTCCCTCCTCCTGGATCCGGCCAGCGTTGCTCGTTTTTAAAAGAGGATTTTCTTATTACCTCTGAACACTTCCTTTTTTTTTTTAATACAAAATTCTAAAAGAGGTCGGTGGGAAAGATTGGGGGGGGGGCGGGCATTTAAACAACAGCATCAAACCCGCCAGAGCATCAAGGGAGCATTTAGTAATTGCTTTTGGGTTTTGGAATCACCCTCTGGACCAGGGAGTGAGCGATCCTGAGTAGGGAGAGTGCAGGACAGGCGAGGCGCTCCAGCCGTAGCCACCTCCTTCCTGGCCGCCCCCTCCTCACTCCCCCGACACACTCGCTCGCTCGCCGCTCGCCGGCGTGCGCACCCCCCTCCCTGCCGGACCCGCACCTCGGCGGGCGCCACACACTCGGCAGCCCGAGCCGCTGTAGCCCAGCGGGATGGAAGCGGCAGGCACCGAGCGCCCCGCAGGCTGGCCCGGGGCGCCCATCGCCCGGACAGGGCTGCTCCTCTTGTCTACGTGGGTCCTGGCCGGCGCCGAGATTACTTGGGGCACGACGGGAGGTCCCGGGCGCCTGGTGTCTCAGGCTTCGCGGCCACCAGCGTTGCCTCCTCTCTTGCCTCGGGCAGAGATGAACCGGTGGCCTGAGGAGCTGGCGACTGCACGGAGAGCCACCGCGCCGAGTCGCAGGTCTAGGCTAGAGCTACTGCCCCGGGCGAGCGGCGGGGAGATACCGGCTGGAGCTGAGGGAATGTCGCCTGGAGACGTGAGGTGGGTCCGGGGCATCCCGGCTCCCAGAACGGCAGCCAGCTCGAGGAGGACTCGCCGGGCACAGCCCCCCAGTACCCTGGAGCGCGGGGACGCTTGGGCTACTGCTCCTGCAGATGGTGCCAAAGGCAGCCGCCCTCAAACCAAGGGTTCCCGGGAAGAGGTGAAGGCGACGCGGACTGGAGGACCGGCGGCTGAGGAGCTCAGGCTGCCCAGCACGTCTTTTGCTCTGACTGGAGACTCGGCCCACAATCAAGCCATGGTGCACTGGTCGGGACACAACAGCAGCGTGAGTACCCCCATCCAGCACAGATCTCCTGACAGCCATGGGTAGTGGGGGTCGGGAGCCAGGGGTCCATAGTTGCTTCGGGTCCAGATGGAGAACCAGGGTGCCTAGACTTTTAGAAAGGGGTTTGCCCTGCCCCTTCACGTCCCCAACAGGTTAGCCGAGTTTTGTTATGATGGTGTGTGCATCTGTTTACCGAAGACCCCGACACTGAGGCTGTCTGGAGGGCTGAGAGGGAAGTGTCTTAAAGCTGCCTGGGCGTAGGATCTGCGCTCTCTCTCTCTCTCTCTCTCTCTCTCTCTCTCTCTCTCTCTCTCTCTCTCTCTCTCTCTCTCATTCGGCTTGGAGACTCACTTTTTTTTTTCCCTAGCGAGGGGGTGCTTGAATTTGTGAATGCAAACATGGACTGATGTGGAGAAATCTCTAGACAGATTCCCGAGACTGGGGAAGGTCCCCTTTGCCCCCCCCCCCCCCGCTCAGGTCACGCTAAGGGTACCCGGGAAATAGGGAGCTCGAGGCCACAGGGAAACCAACCCACTTGCTCATTTTGAGGTCGCTGCTAAGCACATGCTAGCTAGCCAGGTAGGGAGCTGGGCTGCCCCCATGCAAGCGGGAAGGCTGTCTGAGTGGGGGCAGGCAGAGAAACAAAAAGTTTAAGGCGTAAAGCGAATTTCCATGTCCTTTCCATACTACTTATTCTCATGCTTGTGTTGCACGTACAAGCGGGGAAGCAGAAAACTCACTTTCTCCTCCGTGTCCTGCAAACAGAAAGGGCTCGGGGTGAGAGTTGAGCCCTGCTCTTTCCGAGTCCCGTTTTCTTTGCCATCTGGGCCCCCAGGATATTGTTGCACCAAGAGGTATCACTTTCCTTAAGCTTGCTCCCTGGAGGCTTGGTGGTGGTGGGGGCCGGTGTGCTCAGAAGGTGGCGTCCAGCTGAGTAGAGTCTTCTGGCAGCTGCCAGCAGCACCTGCTTGATGGACCTCTGTCCACCTGACTACCACTCCGCAACAACTGGCTGCCCAGAACCTTCCCACTCTCTTTCCTCTGGTGGTCGCTATTTCACCCGGCCTTGCCACATCGTTTTTTCTGGTGTGGCTTTCCAGTTCAGTTGAGAAGCAGACTTAGGGCAGAGCAGGGTGTCCATTAAGAGGACTGGGGATTTATAAGTAGCGCTGAGAGCTCATTTGATGGGAAGTGCTGCCTCTTTTGTGTGGCTCTTCAGGACAGGCTTTTGAAAAGACTTCCTGGGGAGATGTTTGCCTTATTTTACCAAGAGTGTGGGGGTCACAGGGTTGACTATTGAATAACAAGGGAAGCCAGCAGTCTGCAGAGCTAGGCACACAAGCAGTTACCAAGTACAGATTTTGTGATACACAGTGGGGTGGGGGCTGGGGGCAGCAAGCCTGAGGACCAGACGCAGGGTTCAAAGGAGGAGAGTCCTTTGCCTTGGTGACTAATGCCTTCATCTGCCTCTATCAAGACAGCATCCTACCTGCCCCCAGCCTTGGGTTGGATGGCTTTGAGCATGGGGCAGAGGTTGGGTGACTGAAGCCTTACTTCTGAGTTACCAGGAGATATTTGAGGAGGGGGAGAGGAAAGAGAGAGACATGATTCTCTAGAAGCAGAGCTTGTGAATTCCGACTTCATTTAAGTTTGGGGGGATTGTGGGGAGGTCTTTTTGTCTCTTCCTCATTGAGGAGGTGATGCCCTTGCATATGCATGGCTCTATTACCAAATTCATTCAGCCAGAGGTGCTTCACCTGGGCTTTAATTTTAAGGGGCATTTAAAGATATTGACAAAGCCCCTGGAAACGGGGGCTTTAGACAGGAAGTACTTGAAAGTAAATGTGCATGGCCAGCTTTAAGGTAGTTGAGCAGCAAGGCATGTGAGGGATGGGCTGGCTTGTACCCACTGGGGAAATGCCTCTTCAATCAAGGCAGGGCCAAAGGTCCTGGGTAGTAGACCAGTTGGACCTGGAGATATGAGCCATTTATGAACCAGCTCCTGGGCAGTGTTGTTGGCTGTGCCCCTGGCTAGCTTCACTGCAAGTCCAAGGGCAGTTAGCCCATCCCCAGACAGAAAGGGACTGCCTGCTTGGTCCCTAGGCTGCACCTGCCATTTGAGCACATATTGTCTGCAGCAGCATGATGATGCTCTGACCTGGGATGCTCTGTGAAGAGGGAGCAGCCTCAGCAGGATGCTTTTTTCTCCCTCCTTTGCCAATAGCAAGAAGAGAAGGTGAGGAGTGATGGTGATGATGATGAAGAAGAAACAGCCGCAAGTCTTTCTTTTACTACTGCTTCTAAGTGAAAGAAGATGTCACAAGGCAGAGAATATAGGGCCTAGTGGCAGACTCTTCTGGCCATGAAAAGACAATTCCACCTTTTCCTATGGCTTTTGAAGGGTTAAGCAGGCCCTCTGATCAGCAGCTTTAGTGTTAGCAATTTGTTTTGTTTTTTCTCCTGGGCAACTCTTGATATGAGTTTCCGTGGTGGCGGCGGGTGTTAGTCACTGAACGCAAAGCTCTACACTGGTAGCGTTTACAGTCAGGAATATGTAGTTGGACATCTTAGCCCTACCGTTTAGGTTCAGCATGGGGCCAAGAAGAGATCTTTGTGTATAAGGACAATGCTGCCCTGTTCTTGCTGGAGCAGTGAAGCTGGCCAATGCTCCCCAGTAGCTGCTTTATAGATGGCTCAAACCTCCATGCCCAGTTGGTCGGCTACCTAGGACCTTTGGCCCCATTTTAATTGCTCAGGGCAAATGCTTCCTTTGGTACAATACCTGGGGTGAGTTTGCTTAGGAGGCAATGGGGGAGGTGCTAGCAGGCCAGCACAGAAAGAAGCAGGGGGGAGGGAGAGATGTTGTGGGGTCTGGCTCTGACCACACTGACCTGGCTAGTGAGCTGAGTAGCCATGGCCTTGGAGCCTCTGCCCCAAGGAGATTTGCAGTTGCTCTTGCTTGCTGCAAGTCTCCAGCAGAGATCCTGGTGATTAATGGGTTAGAAAGTGTTTCACAAACACCTGGGGGGATCCAGGGAAACATAAAAACACATTATTCTGTCCTTTTCCTTCAAATGGAGGAAGAGGCTTCCTTGCCTGCTCAGTGGGTTGGCAAATGGCCCTGGAGAGTGTAGAGTTGTGAAGGCACAGCCCACTTATTTCTGCCTCTTCCTTCTTGGATTAAGCCCTGATTCTGCCCCCTCTCTCAGAGCAGGGACCATTTCTTCTTAGCAGCTCACACACAGTGGCTTCCCAGCCCGGTGCTCCTCTAGTATGTCTGCTTGGAATGACTTGGCAAGGTAGTTTTCAATGAATGCACCCAAGCTGGAACCTTAGTGAAGAGAAATGAAGAGATACAGGGTCATTCTAGGCCCCCGCAAGACATGGAGCAGGTTAGAAGATATACATGGAGGTGGGATTTTCCTACCGTTAGCTGATGCAGCTAGCCTGTGCTCTAAAATATTCACTCCTAATGTGCGAGCTACTGACAGATTTGATCAGATTCATTGTATTTGCCTCAGTAGAGCATCTCACTGTGCCCCCAAACAGACTTTTCAGACAGCTTTTGGCTGGATTGCTCAGCCTTCTCCTCCTAGTGTCGCAATATCTTAATGCATTTTGCCTTCTCTGAGGCTTAATAAAGAAGCCTGCCACAGAAACCATTCTTCAGGGGTTTGCCAAAAAAATCTGTTTTTAATTAATATTACAAGGAAAGGCGTCTCAGTTGAGACAGAACTGAACTGGGAAACACATTGGAACACAACAGCACTAATTGCTCTCGGTCACTGTCCGCCAGGAGTGGGGATGCAGGGAGGAGGGGTGGACCGAGGCTGTTTGTCTGCTCCAAGAGTCCTCTGATGGAAGAGTTACTGGCTCTGATTTGCTTCTCAGATCCTGTGGTGGTTTCCAAGGTGAGCAGAGAAGCAAATGCCTTTATCAGGAGGCCCTATTTAATGATGACTGGAATGCAGGGTTTGGAATTTGCATCTTGCTTGGCAGGAAAGGAAAGTTGACAAGTGGTTTCTCCGGTTGTGTTATGTTTAAGATTAGGATTTGGTGGATCCAGTGGTAAGAAAGCTCTGGAAGCTCTTATTTTATTTTTTTTTCTCTAGCTGTGTAACTCTATTGTCACTAGGGGAGATCTGGGAGCAGATGGGTATGGACCAGAGTCATCTCACAAGGAATAGAGCAGTATGACAGAGTTAGACATACAGACACAAGGTCCATCCCTGTAGGCTAGAAGTTCATCCAGGGCTAGGTACAGATAGCCAAGTCATCTGAGACCTGTGGCTTGACCTAGCAGCCACCTGTGGACTCCTGCCTTTTATCTTCCTTTGGCTTTTTGGGTACCAGAGACATTTCTCTTACAGGGAGAAAATGTAAACTGTGATTCAATAGACTGATGGGAGATGCCATTATGTATATATGTTTCTCATACTGGTTAATGAATAAAGCACTGTTGGCCAATAGGCAAGCAAGATAGGTGGGACTAGGAGACGAGGAGGAAAGAGGAAGTAGAAAGGAGGAGTCAAGATGGAGAGACCGGGGAGACCAGATGCCTGCCCCACTCCCCGGTAAGGAAACCACGTGGAAATACATAGAAATGGGTTAATAATTAAGACAGAGCTAGCCGATAAGAAACAAGTAACTGGCCAACAGAATTGTATCTAATACAGAGTCTCGGTGTGTTAATTGGGGCTGGCGCAGCGGTGGGACCAGACCAACAGCGGGAGGAAAAACCTTACTGCCTACAAGAGACCCTTAGAGAGGGAGGTAGATAATGCAGAATATATCCTATTCTCTCTCTGTCTCTCTGTCTCTCTCTGTCTTTCTGTCTTTCTCTAACACACACACACACACACACACACACACACACACACACACACACACACACAGAATAAGCTAGATTGGCTCTGAGGCACGAAGGGAATTCAGCTAACCATGATTATTATCCTGTGTGGGGTAGGCTGTCAGAAAGGACTGGATTGAACCTCATTTTC